CCCCAAAACCCCAAAACCCCAAAACCCCAAAACCCCTGGCTGTTTATTTTTATCGAAATATTAATAAAAACAATAGGAAATGGACAATCGGAAAAGAGGATTTTTAGAAAGCCGGATACTTCAAGCTAGCCCATCTTTTCATTATAAAAGTAATCCTGAAGTTTGTTTATTTTGCTCTTTTATAAAAATCTATTTATTTCTCTCTAAATTTTGGAACTTTGGATTGTTATAAAATATAGCTGAGGAAAGTATAGAGTCAAGAGCAAAGCAGAATAACAAAGAATGAAAAATACCTTTTAAATCTGGGTTAAAACGCTATCAAAAGCTAAACGAAGGAGGAATGTTATCTCCTAGCAATGTAAGCTTCATTTTCCATTAAAAACAAATCAACTATCGAACTCTTATGCTCATTTTACACTTCAAACATCTCTAAGCCTCTCAAACTAGTCATGAAACCTTCCTCTAAATGCGATCCCTCCAACCGTAAAACTCCGGATGAAAGGAGCGAACAGCTCCCTGCCAACTACAAAGATTAGATCAAATACTCCTCAGCTTGACTTCAAGCTAAAATTGTTCCCCCAAAATTCAGCCTTAATCCCACTCAGGTATGCTTTTTAGTTGCTTTGACCCATGCCTTAGTAAAGGAGAAAGAGAGAGGGGCACAAAGACACTCTCAGAATCAGTCATACCTCTCCAGGGTGTTTTGAACTTGAAAGGATTCATCAAGGAGAAATAAAATCCTTTAACGCTAGAAAAATAGCCACCAGAATCAAAACCTGGATTCTCAGAACAGCTTTCAAAGCTTATGGAGAGTATATGGGCCATGAATTTGGTTCTGAAGAAAGATTACGAGTGTATACCACTGCTTTCAAAACTACTGCCAGGTAATCCTCCTACCTTTTTATGCAATTTCATCAAATTTGGCGTTAATTTTGGTATCAGCAAGTCCAAAGTTCAACAAAAGCGCTTGAAAGGTAAATAAGACACGGAACCACATTAATATCGTCACTGAGAATCGAGGTATTTATTTACTTATTTACTTAGGTCATAAATCAAAAATTAAGGTTAGATCACATTCCAAAGAGGTACTGCAGAACGAAATAGAGCTAAAGTATGGTAACTTCGATGAAGAGAGAGACTTTCTCATGAACACACCTGACTTAAGATACAGTAATAATACTCCTCAGTTAGTGGTGAATGGTAATTCCTTGGAAAAGCTTCCTCCTCTCCTAAATTTATATCTTTTAACAGAACAATTCTCAACGAAATTATAGAAGAGGAGGAGTATTTGGCAATCGAAGCACCCCATACCAGCACAAAGGTTGATAATCGTGACGATGATCGGTTCTTTCCAAAGCATCTAGATCCGTTCGGTGGCAAAGATTCCAAGTATGTTCTTTGTCTCACATTTTGGTAATAGATACACAAAGAGAAGGAAGTCCTCAGCAAGGAAAGGCTCTGCTAGAAGAGGGTCAGTTAGGAAGAAAAATATTAAAAAATTTATTCAAAATAATCATGATAAATTGGCTGGAAATGGAATAAAGAAGGACTTAATGCCTTTGAAAAAATTTAAGATTTATCGGTATGACTCTTTGGAATAGTCTATGGAGTTTATTTTAATGAAATCTAATCAGAAGGATATAGCAAAAAGCGGTGAGATAATCCAAAATTGCCAAGCAATTTGAGACGCCATTCAAGAAATTACTCTGACACAAAAAGATCCTTTCTTCAAACCAGAAATACGAAATAACTTGAATATAAAAGTACCATAATTCCTCACCATAGCCCCCTCCAAAACTTTTCGCTACAAAGAAACTACATAAATTGCCCATTAAAACCCGAATAATGCCTCTAAAAGGCCCTCAGATCACTCCTAAACCTAGTTTGCCCCTTTTCCTTCTAATCTCTAGGTCAATTAGTAAGCAAAATTGACAAAATCCTGAATCCAACTTTCAAATTGCCCTTAATAACTCAAAAGAATAGGATTAAAAGCCACAAAATGGTCAAGAGCCAATTTTAGCTTTTCCATATTCTATCTTATTCCTCAAGAATCAATATTTTATTTTGTTTGTGGGGTTTTGGGGTTTTGGGGTTTTGGGGTTTTGGGG